AACTTCCCACCCTACTCAAAATTCTCTCTTCATATAGCCGTAAGCCTATTACATATCCATAAAACACAGTCATATAACCGCGCTCGGATCGTATCGATTTCTCACTGCAATCAATCCGCTCCAGAGTTTGTTTCAATAGAGCCGAGACCACCTCATTCAAGCGATCTCGGAGCAATTGATTTGGCGCGGATCCGAGAGCGATTGGTGGTTTCACATATGCCAACCGAACTGCGTTAACTGGGCAAACGAGACAGGTTCCGAAACAAAAGTGTAGGTGTGAAAGCACCCTGAATCAAGTAATTTTAGCATGTCAAAGTCAAATTTATGAATATAAAATATGTTTTACCAACAAAAAAATTGTGGCTAGTGAAAATGGTGAGTAGCTAGTAATGTTGGAAATTTACTAGCCACAGAGGCTGGTGATCAAAAAAGCTAATGTCAAGCCCTGATTAAAAAAAAGGGTTATTCAACCATATATTGATGTCTTAACTGTTTTTTTACAATTCTTAAAATTTTTGTAAGATTTAGGCCGAAAAATGCTCATTTTAATTTCAAATTTAGAAAAAAAACGTTATCAGTATAAAACAGGGCTGGCCAACCCTGTTCCTAGAGAGCCACCTTCCTGCAGATTTTAGTTGCTACCCATATCAAACACACCTGAACCCATTAATTAAGACCTGAACAACATGTGATAATTACAGGCAGGTGTGTTTGATATGGGTTGCATTTGAATATGCAGGTAGGTGGCTCTCCAGGAACAAGGTTGGCCACCCCTGGTATAAAACAAAAATAAAATTTATTCTCACACATGACAATAAATCATGCGTCCACAGACTTTTCAAGTGCTCACATAATGTTTTTCAATAGCATAACCACTAATTCAAAAGTGCTAAAGCATATACACACAATAATGAAATAGCCATGTTGGAATGTCAGGAACATTTCGGTGATGCTTTAACTAGGCTTGCGTTTTTATTTTCTTCTTTTTAAAGATCAAGTCCATCTCCCCCTGAATGGTTATTACTATTTTGGAATTCATCATTAACTTAATCAAATTCCTGCAAAAATACTTCAGTTCCAGGTAAGCGCAGAGTTATTTTAAGAGCGATTTTAACATTCCATTAGCGAGCTCTTGCTGTTGTTCTGCATGATGTCATTGTCCTCTGCTTTTGGGATCAGAGCTTTAGGTATGCTTTAACTCATCCGCTCCTTTCTAGCCTGCTGCCAAAGCATTTACTGCAATCTCAGTCCAAACAGAGCTCAGGATGGGCTCAACAGCATGCATCTGTCGAACGGCCCTCGCCAAATCATAGTATGCTTGCTCTCCCCACCATAAATGACAAAATATACTAATGAGGAATCATTTGGAAAAGATACAAGAATTTCAGTGTACACAGAGAAGGAGAAATTGGTTTTGAAGGCGAGCGGGAGTAAATAGGAGCCGTCTTCCCGATCTCCCACCCCTCTCTTCTCCTTCTCTGATATGTAAATGTTTGCCAATAACAGTTTATTTTGGGTGTAGAGTCTCGTGAATTATAGATGACCATATGGGCAAGCATGGCTGACACTGCCTACTGAAACACTGAAGGGATGAGTGAGACCGGACAGATGTCTCTAATTGAACGGCTTTCCTCGTCTCCTGTAAATTGTCAAAGTTAATCAAGGAATGCACGGCCAATTTTGTTCATGAGTTAATTTTTTTTTCTTGGCTCAGTTTGTTAGAGTTTGGCTCCAATTTGGGGTGGTTAAACATGCATTCGCATAATCAAATGCTTCCCAAAACGACTTCCTTTTTTGGCTGGATTACTTTTCAGTTGCTTAAAAAAAATTATCCGAGTCCAGATGTAAAGCAGTTTTATTTTAAATCTAACCACCAGTTATAGATATAAAGCTCTTATCTTTAAATAGTGAGATGGAAAATATGCTATATATACACTCACTTGCCACTTTATTAGGTACACCTTACTAATGCCGGGTTGGATGCCTTTTGCCTTCAGAAACGCATCAATCCTTCATGCCATACAATTAACAAGGTACAGGTAAGCTATAGCGCTCGTTGGCCAAGAAAACCCCAACACCATTACACCACCACCATCAGCCAAAACCGTTGATACAAGGCAGGATGGATCCATACTTTAATGTTGTTGATGCCAAACTCTGACCCTACCATCCGCATTCATTCTATTCTGCATACCTCAGTATACTGCATTCCTGTTGTCTTTCAATCAGTTTGAACCAGTCTGGCCATTCTCCTCTGACAACAACAAGGCATTCGTGCCCTCAGAACTGCCGCTCACTGAATATTTTGTCTTTTTTGGACCATTCTCTGTAAACCCAAGAGATGGTTGTGCGTGAAAATCCCAGTAGATCAGCAGTTTCTGAAATACTCAGACCAACCATGCCACGTTCAAAGTCACTTAAATCACCTTTCTACCCTATTCTGATGCTCGGTTTGAACAGCAGCAGCAGATCGTCTTGACCATGTCTAAATGCACTGAGTTGCTGCCATGTGATTGGCTGATTAGAAATTTGCGGTAATGAGCAGTTGTACCTAAAAAAGTGGCCAGTGAGTGTATTTAATATATCCTTTTATTTTTAGTGTTTTGCCTCCACAATGTTCATTTTATGTGATTGGCTGATCAGAAATTTGCGTTAACGAGCAGTTGAACAGGTGTACCCAATAAAGTGGCCGGTAAGTCAACTAAATTTCAAGTTTACGTCTAATTCTTCTTTGTTAAGATACTTCTTTGTTCTTTGTTATTGTGCACTTTTCCAGCAATTTTGGAGTAAAAATAGTTGCTACCTAGCTAACTGTTTTAAATAAATTTTTATCTGACATAACCACATTTAGGATTCTTTAAAAGTGACCTTTTATGCCCCTTTTTACAAGATGCAAAACAAGTCTCTGATGCCCCTAGAGTATTTATGTGAAATTTAAGTGTATGTAACCCCCAACAAATAATGTTTTATAACTCTTTGACACCGCTAGGCTCTGATCCTAATTGTGCCATTTTGGTGACTGTCGCTTTAAATTCAAATAAGATTGTGCTCTTTTCAAAAGAGGGCGGAGTTACAAATGCCTTTGTGTCCACATAGTGGCAGATTCAAAAACAAGACTAACGTCATATGCTAATGAGGGAGAGATTGTCACTAATGGGCGGGGCTTTCCCCCCTCTGATGACATACACAAAAGGAGGATGTTAATTCTGCAGACTGTATTTATAAAGTGTGATTATAATTAAATAGAATGATTATTTTGTACCATTAGTAGCTGGTCATATTTACACACTGTTGCTACACAACTTTGTTTAAACCCCTTATAAAATAGATTTTTGCATAATAGGTCCACTTTAAGCAATTATTTAACTACCAGCTAAACAATTATTTTTTTACTAATTTATTACTCAAGTAATTTTTAAGCAAACCAACGCCCTCAACACCTGACGTTAAGCTATTATTTTTTTTTATCTCCATCACTCTCTTTGTCTTTGCTATTTTCCTACCAAAATTATCCTTTGTGCTGATGAAAAGCCTGATGGACAGTTTTCATTAGCAACTTGTATAATTAAATGGGTTTAACTAATAGCAAATTCATCATAATGACGCTGGCCATCAGTGAATGACAGGCTATTTCATTTGTCAACCGTTTCATCTCATTTTAAAAGCTCTGTGACAACTGAATGTTGTGGAAGAAACATACTGTAATGTCAATAACCAGATATCACTGAATGTGGTCACATTAACAAAAAAGTAATAAAAAAATATCATGACAATCCTGTATTGTTTTGACACATGGAAAAACCTTGGTGGTGCTACAGTATATATAGGCCTACCAACTGTATGGTAATGCCGTGCTATATGAACATAGTGAAACATGAATAACCATGATGATACAATGGTACTTCAAATTTAGTCAGAACAGGAATTCTGACTGTCATTCATTCATTCATTTTCTTGTCGGCTTAATCCCTTTATTAGTCCGGGGTCGGCACAGCGGAATGAACCGCCAACTTATCCAGCAAGTTTTTACGCAGCGGATGCCCTTCCAGCCGCAACTTATCTCTGGGAAACATCCGCACACACACTCATACACTACTGACAATTTAGCTTACCCAATTCACCTGTACCGCATGTCTTTGGAAAACCGGAGCACCCGGAGGAAACCCACGCGAAGGCAGGGAGAACATGCAAACTCCACACAGAAACGCCAACTGAGCCGAGGTTCGAACCAGCGACCCAGCGACCTTCTTGCTGTGAGGCGACAGCACTACCTACTGCGCCACTGCCTCGCCAATTCTGACTGTTTTACTCACAATTCAAATTTTTTATCAACAGAAATATGACAAATAAACCTCACATTTGACATTTATACTGTAAACATCTGAGGAAAAAAGGAGATTTTTTTTAATTAGCTCACAATTTATTGTATTTTTATTCAATTTGATCAAATTTTGCTTGATCACTTATGCATCACTTTTTCATATACCTGTTACAAGAATAGCAATAGAACAAAAATAATATTTGATTTGAAATATTTAGATTTTAGAATGTAAAAATATATGTTTTGACCGATGTAATAAAAGTACCACAACAATACCAACAGCATTGCATTGTACTTTCATACACTCCTAAAAACAAAGGTACAAGGCTGTCACTGGGGCAGTAACTTTTCAAAAGGTACATATTTCTATGTAAAGGGTTAATAATGGTGTGTCACAGGTACATATTAGTACCCAAATGCACCTAAATTGTACCTCTGAGGTACCATTATGAGCCTGAAAATGTACTACCCAAGTGACAGCCCTCTTTATTTCTGAAAGTGCTCTACATTATAACCATAATGCTATTTTCAGTTTGACATTAAATGCAGAATACAGACTTCTCACAGGATCTAGAGCCATTGTGGCGGTTGATGAATTGACTCATTGATTTTTAAAATGTGACATTTGACAATTTTCTATTGAAATGCTATCAAGGATCCTTTTTGTTTCAGTACTCACAAGCGATGATGTTGCCGTAGCGGTTTTTGTTGCGGTTTTCCTCTTTCTTGGCAGTTTCCCATGGGGCAGTTTGTCCCTCAGCCAGACCCTGAAATGACATCAAGTATATGTTCAAGAATATGTAAAACAGGTTCATCCAGACAACACACACATATAAATACCTAATATCTCACAGACATACTGTACTCACACTTTTGCCCTATATGTAAACATTTTAAAGTGTTATTTGCAGTTAAGTTTTAATAGTTTAAGATAGTTTTAATAGTTTAAGATCTTAATTCAAGACTTTCATATGTTTATTATACATTTGACGAACACAGCAGTACATCTAAATCTGACCCAAAGACAGAAGTCATCATGTATGGTTTATGAAACAGGTTCAATATTTACCTAAAAAAAAAAAAAGAAAATCTGTATTGTCATCTCTGTTATTAACATTGATTACTGGAAAATAGTGGGGTAGCAGTTGTGACACACAGTGTTTGCACAGATGTAATAAACACTGATGACTACTGATGTCTATTTTATAGATTATTGATGCTTCAAATGAAAGTTTAGAGAAGTTACACTGTTAAGCCAATAAGTGGTGACAAGCACCAGTTAAAACGCAAGTCACTAAAGCAAAGGTAAGAAAATCTTGCAAATATGTGAGTCATTGAATCACTAATTAAAACTGACATTTATTATAACAAAGTAACACATCAATTGCAGTAAATATTTTATTTTGTGAAGCTTTCAATTCAGAGTCATTAAGAATTTGAATCCATTTTAAATAATAAAAAGAATTATATTTTATTCATTCATTCATTCATTTTCTTGTCGGCTTAGTCCCTTTATTAGTCCGAGGTCGCCACAGCGGAATGAACCTTATCCAGCACATTTTTACGCAGTGGATGCCCTTCCAGCCGCAACCCATCTCTGGGAGAGATCCACACACCACACTCATACACTACGGACAATTTAGCCTACCCAATTCACCTGTACCGCATGTCTTTGGACTGTGCTGGAAACCGGAGCACCCAGAGAAAACCCACGCGAACGGAGGGAGAACATACAAACTCCACACAGAAACACCAACAAATTCAGCCAATCATATAGCAGCAACTCAATGCATTTAGGCATGTAGACATGGTCAAGACGATCTGGTGCAGTTCAAACCGAGCATCAAAATGAGGAAGAAAGGTGATTTAAGTGACTTTGAACGGGACATGGTTGTTAGTGCCAGGCTACAATTCACACAGGCTCACCAAAACTGAACAATAGAAGATTGGAAAAACGTTGCCTGGTCTGATGAGTCTCGATTTCTGCTGCGACATTCAGACGGTAGGGTCAAAATTTGGCATCAACAACATGAAAGCATGGATCCACCCTGCCTTGTATTAATGGTTCAGGCTGGTGGTGGTGGTGTAATGGCATTAATCATCATTTGTACCAATTGATGATTACTGCCACAGCCTACCTGAGTATTGTTGCTGACTATGTCCACCCCTTTGTGAAAACAGTGTACCCATCTTCTGATGGCTACTTCCAGCAGAATAACGCATCATGTCATAAAGCGCGAATCATCTCAGACTAGCTTTCTTGAACATGACAATGAGTTCACTTTACTTAAATGTTATCCACAGTCACTAGATCTCAATCCAATAAAGCACCTTTGGGATGTGGTGGATCGGAAGATTCTATCATGTCAATATGGACCAAAATCTCTCACGAATATTTTCAGTAGCTTGTTGGATCTTTGCCACAACGGATTAAGGCAGTTCTGGCAAAAGAAGTTCCAACCCGGTACTAGTGATGTGTACCTAATAAAGTGGCCGCTAATTATATAATGGATATAAATATATAACATAAAATGCCTAATTAAAAGAGATGAACTAGAAAAAAAGGGTATTATCTGCTGCAAACGCTGGTATGGTATACAGCACGAATATACAACCAATTGCTGCAGAAGACGGATCACATGATGCTCTTATTGGCTGTTGCTTGCAGAAGTCACTCTTCATTTGCATAAAGTTGAAAGATTTTTGGTAGACTTGGCTACATTTGTCACCAATGGTAACTGTTGCTTGCATAGCTAGATGTTGCTGGAAGTCTCCATTAAAATAAACGGCTGTGTGTCTCTTTGCAGCTGCGTGTCGCTCGTAATGTGAATGAGACTTTACACGCTCAATATTAAGAGCACTACATTCCAATCAACAAACCAACGTTAAATCGGCTTAAAATCCAGCAGAAAGGAAGTGAATGAAAAAGAATGTAAACAGAAACAGCAAATTCAATCATGATCTGTGTGTTTTTTGTTACCTGTTTAAGTGTGCTTCTTGATAACCTAAACATTTTTTAGTATGTGTGCCTTTAGTGCTTGTTTAATACATTTGACCACATGAGTGTTTACGTTATAAAGGCAAGCTGATTGAATTTGTTTTAGCTACCTCTAGATGGGGTCTAAAAAGATAACCTCAAAACATTTACACCTATATTAAGCGTTATCCTTTTGGGATCAGATCCAACGAAAGTGCATCTTAATACCAGGTGAAAACAGGGCCTTTGAGATGCTTTTCTAAAATAACAGCTCAGGTTAGGTGTCTCTTTTTCCCTTGAGCCCACTGAAAGACCCTGTGTGTGCATGAGTCTGGTAATTGTAGACTCATCCTTTAGCCTTGGGGCAAAGACAAGACTCTGAAATGTCAGACAAGAGTGCTGAATGGTGGCCACTTAAAGCTGCAGTGCAATCTTCATCCCGTCCAGCACACACAAGACAAGCCATTTACTGTGACAGATCAGGAGAAACGCCGCTCCTCTGCCAAGTGTCTGCATTATAGAAAGACTTCATGGACAAAGTGATTCAAAACAAGCACATTTTAAAGACGAATTGGTGGGCTGATGGTGCGGTGTGCTGAAGGTTTATCTTCAAAAGACGTCTCTGTGAAAGAACAACAACAGAGAATCGACAGGAAGATTATAGTTCGTTCTCAGAGATGTCTTTTTTTCCCCTGTCCTTTCTTTTTGGTGATTAATTCATGATCAAAATTCCTGAGAAAAAAATCACTAGAAGGTTTTTAAGACTAATATTGTTATTGGCATGAGCTCATACACTGTCAATCAAAGAACTTATTATAAATTCATTACAAGTTTGTATAATTAAGTGGGCTTAACTAATTGGAAATTCATCATGATGCCTGCCGGCCATCAGAGAATGACAGGCTATTTCATGTGGACATGGTTTCATCTCATTTAAACAGTAATAAAAATATCTGATAGAAAAATAGAATAGCAATGTCCAGATATTCAGAAAGGAAGAAAGAAAAAAGCAAGGAAAAAAGAAAGAAAGAAACAAAGAAAAAGAAAAGAAAGAAAAATACAAACAAAAAAGAAAAAGCTATTTTATTCTCCTGAGACCCAAAGAATTTTTTTCTCAGGAATTTCTCTGAGAAACTCTGAGAATTCTTTTTTTGTTTTGTTTTTTTTATGATTCCCTACATCCTTTGGGTTATTTTTATTAAATTTTTTTTTTTTAATTTTGAGTTTTTATATTTTGTTTTTATTTTTAATTTTACAGCATGTCCACTGTAGGGGACCACAGCACCATTTTAGTTTGAAATGACCGCCAAACTCAGATGTAAATGTAAGAACTCTATGTTCAGTGTGGTCTAGGGTGCTGTAATAAATTTTGGTGGTTGCTGCAGATGTCTTTAATCATAGGAAAAAGAAAAATGTCTCTACCATAATCTATACAAAAGTTATTGTATTGAAACTGAGGATACGTGCTATACAAGCCACAGAGATTGATCATTGTCTTCATATTTCACTATTCTTTTGTTTGATCAAACATAATTTACTGTGTTTGGACCACATCACACATATAAAAGGATTACTTATGCACATCCCCTCAAAAACCGAGGAGAATGGCCCTGAAGCGCACAGCATAATGTAAGAGATGACAGCAGTCTGTGCTATCTGGGGCTGCTTATTGATCATAAATGTATTGTTTTCACTTCTGTGCCATTGAAACACCACAATTCATTCAACAACTGTTTGATATGTGAATATAATTGAGTAAAAAAAATGCTAGAACCGCATGAGCACCGGCAAGAGCTTTCTTTTGAGCTATAACTTGTACATGTGTCATATATGAACCAAATGAAAAATATGAAAATGAACCAATGTTCAATACCAAGCTCGGGTATACAAAATACTGTCTATTTAAGTGTAAATAACTTTTGTACAGTGAGATAAAAACCAAAGTGATGCATATGTGCATAAAATATAGATTCTACACTTTCAAACGAAACCACTCACGGGAGTCTGATGCAATGCTAGCCCTTTAAATCTTAAAGCAAAACTCAATGATGTCACGGACCCGGGCAAGTTTAACTAGTTAATCCAATATTAATGTAAAAAAAAAAAAAAAAAGCCATTATTTCCTTTTGTATTGAAATTCCTGAAACAGTTTAGTCTGAAAGAAAGTCAAATAGAAATAATAATAATAAGTGTTGTTAATCCAAAACAAATTTAACATAAAAGCGATTTAAAACTGATTGTCATTCTCTAATTGTCTCTTATTCTCGAATTGTCAGACTCTAAATCAGAGTCTCCCTCAACTATCTTATAAAGAATCCTCTCTGCTTCAGTTCTGCCCCCTACAACATGCAGTCATTAATAACATTAAAATGTCCACTATAGTGGACATTTAAAAATGGATGATATTTTGAAACACAAACAAGTTAACAGCTTTGAAAGCTAAATGTATTGTTTCTGACACTTTAATAAACAAATATATATATATATATATATATATATATATATATATGTAATAATTATAGTAAAAATAAATTAAAAAGCTAAATTTTACATACCTCTCTCTCTCCTTCCCATAAAATGTGCTTTTTTTGTATGCCAGCTATTTTGGATGCAGTGTACGAAGTGGTTTCTAGCATGCCAGCCAATCAAATGACATATCAGTAAAAAGCCCAGGATGTCCTCTGAACAGTACAACATGACTTGACAGAGTAGCTTAAAAAATCCAAAGTAAATTCATGAAAATGCAATGCCCACGCACTGCTTGAAGTGAATGAAATGAACTGAATTTAC